TTTGATTTAGGCAAACTAATTAGCACATCGTTAGTGAGTTCTTCTCAATATTTTGTTAACCAGTTATCAGTAAGTCATTTTGACATCGTTAAACCTCGCACAGACCGATCTCACTGTCAAAGATGCAGATTTTGTTTTTTATATGAAATCAAAACTCCAGCTTCATCACCATTTATTTTTCGGAACACTTTAATATATTTCCTGATTATTTTTTTTTAAAATGAAAGTTCGGCATAATGTTTTCATTCCTTCCCGTCACGACGTTACATGGCATCCACGGGGCAAAGATTATCGTCGCTAATAGAACTTGATCCGCATCCTAGTCTTCAAATTAAGACCGCATTATAAACAATCGCGGTACACATAATTTGATTTTGGTCACCTCTTTGATTCTCTTAGCAAAGTCGGTGATAATTAATTTAAAATTACATGATAGCCTGTAAATGAAATCCTCTAATTACTTTAAGTCAGATAACTTTAAATGGTTGTCATTAAGCTGAGAGAGAACATTTGCTGTTTATAACTTTGGACAGATTGTTGGTACCGCCGCAAATATCGGCTAATACAAGAATGCGTGCGGTTAAAATTACTGATATTTTCTTGTGCACTTTCATTATTTATATTTTTAAAAAGAAATGAAACTAACTGGCAAATAGAAGTTTCTATATGTTCAATAAGCGCGATAGAAACAAATTAAATGGTTCCAGATTAACTTTAAGAATATTAAGACACTGTATGCAAAGAATGAAGACAAAATCAGTTAGTTTGATTAAATCATTATATTGACATTAAAAAATTTTCGTATGCAAGAAATTCTGCCGAGAACATTTACTAAATTTGTATTATTAGCTGTCACAGCCTACCTGTTTTCTTCAAAGAATACAAATTCCTTTGCATTGACTATTCCTTATAATGTTAAAAGCTAAATCGGATCTCACATAATAGACCAGTCTCAATATGTGTGCGGTTATTTCTTTTTATCCGTGTGTGTGTGTGTGTGTGTGTCCTTTTGAAAAACAAAAGAAACAACACTGACATTACCACCATTTTCTTTTACATGTGATTACTAACTTGCATTATCGTTTGTTTTCTTATTATCAGAAATTAGCTCATGTGCGTAGTCACCTAAAATAAAATCTGGCAATGTATCTTCAAAACACGCGTTTAAATCGATATGAAAGTATGAAACACAAGCATCGTAACCGCTACGTGTAACTCAGTGTTACACAAATTTCATATATTACAAATATTTTGGATGAACAAAATAAATAAATTGTTTATATTAGTATTTGTAGAATAGATGAGTTGAGACTAAACCAGCCGATAAAAATAATATTGGCTTTGAGCTCTAGAGGTTAGAAGTTATTTAAAGTAAAACAATCTCAGTTTAGAAATGAATCTCAGCGACTACACTCGGAAAAAAGCAGACTTTAGGTATATTATATAAAAGCATACGCCTGCTATAAACTAGCTGAATTTTTGCATTTTGTGCTTAAATAATATTTTGATGACGAGTCTGGATTAACACCTCAATGAACACCGCGTATTTTTACACCCAATGACCTTATGTAGAGACGTCACTCGTATCTCACTTTAGAGAAATGTTGATACGAATCCTGCATGATTTTTTTTTTCTGGTTTGAGCAACTAACTCAGACTCTAGCTGCGTCAGCCAAATGTATGTCATGTGACAATGTGTAAATATTGACCAAGTCAAGCTAAAACAAAACAAACTTCTGTTGGACTTTTTGTAACTTTGGTTATGATCTGTGCTTGATCAAGTTCAATGTCCCTTATGCCATGTTTGTCCAATTTAGCTTGCATGTCATGTTAAAACAATATTGAGGCTATCAGGGAGTAAATGACCCAATGACCTTTCGTCAGAAACCATGTGCAAACCTCATCTGTCATTAAATTACTGGTCTTTTGATATATTTTATGTTTGCAGTTTGTTTTTGGTTTTGGTTTTGGTTTTGGTTGGAGGGGAAGTGTTTGTTCTTTTTACTTTGCAATGTCATTATTTTTTGGATAATTCTGAATATTTGATGTTATTGCACACGTTATTATTTTTGGGACTTTTAATTCTTAATATTTGCACACGTCTGCACAGTGGTCGCGCGACAAGGGTTGGGGTTGGTGTTGGGATGGGCAATTGCCACCCCATTCCCACCCTCGTCTTAATATTTCATCTTCACCTTAGTGTAACTAGGGCGTATCTTCACAAAACTTATATTCTATTTTTTTTTTTTGTATGGAGGAGAGGAGAAAGGTTGGCAACATACAAAAAAACTGTTTTCTGTAGAAAAATATGTGCTTCGTAAAATACATAGCCCCCTCCTCCGAAGAACTTCGAATCGTGCTCCGCCACTGCGTCTACACATCAAAATGCTGTCCATTTATCAGGCGTGATATGACCTGGGCGCACTGTTCCAAATTTCATGCAGATACCCGGGTCCTGTATATATGCTATAATAAGTAGAAATGCTTTGCAGCCATTCATTCATAAGTTAGTAATGAGACGTGCATTTTCAATTATTCGTTTCACATTGGGGGTGGGGGCTGAGGTACATTTTTAAACTGAACAAAATATCCAGGGAAATGCATTTTAAAGAAAGCGAAGCCTGTTATGAAAACCATTTAATATTATTCATAGCATTAAACTTTACATGCACTGTATGTTAATGCATATTATTAAACATTTATGGATATTTCTTTTTTCTTCGCCTTTTCTGCAAAAAATAAACAAACATGCAGCTGTGTTTGTTTATTTGTTTGAGAGAAACAATTGTTATCATGTTTGTAATTGAAATTTATTATGTGTAAATTAAATATATCATGCATTCACTGAAACATTTCAAGAGAAAACTATGTTCTTTCGATGTGAATTTTATGTATATCATTATTTGACAGCGTTTCTTTTTTGTATGTCCCTTAAAATGATATATAAGGCTGGGCAAGTGCAAATATAATTATTCTAGTGCAATGAAGTAGAACTTAGAAAATTTGGAAAACAAATCTAGTAGAATAAACGTGTAAAGAGAGCATAAAAGTATATAGTTGTTTGCTAGTATAACTAATACGTTAGGCTGTTTTTTGTTATGGTTTTTTGGGGGAGGGGTGAAATTGCGAACATATAAGTTAAATTGATGTGACAGTTTTTGTATTCAATTAAAATTTGAGCCTATATATTACTATACGTGTATTTAAATAATGTCCGTCTGCGCACACAGACGGTTCAGAACAGTACACAGTCGTTAAAAAGTTGACCCACCAATAATCAAACACAGACGTATGTTCCGTACCACCCCGCACCATGTGAGGTGCTCGTCGAAGGACTGTGAAATTACGGGCAAAGTATCACCTTGATAGCCGAAATTCGGAGAATAAGCTATCTTCCTCTCCAGTTATCATGTAATAATGTAAATCAATACCAGACAAGTTTCAACTCATCTTGCTTCATAAGACCCAGATGGTATAATAATTCCAAATATGGCAAAGGGTTGGGAAAATTATCTAGGCTACCGTTAGATAATCTATAATACACTCTATCTACGTTAACTACCTACTTTATATACCTGGGTTAAAAATTGATTTAAAATTTGCCATCCTCGACAAGGTTGTTCATGTAGATGTTCGATAGATAAATTTAACGGAAAGAATGTACGTTTCTCTATATATACAAATGTTTTAGATAAATTATTTTATCATTAATTTTAATTCATGTAATGTTTTATTGTGGTTTCTTTAAGAATTAGGTACAGATAGGTTCTGATTAATGTTATATCAGCTGTATAGAAAACGAAAGTAATGATTTTTGTTTTCTGATGAATATTTTCATTGTATATCATTATGATACATTACCCAAGTGGAAAATGTGATTTTCTAATTCGTTTTATTTTCTTTCGTCATTTTTGTGAATTTCGTCATATATTGTATGTCGCTGTACTCCAGATGATAAGCGTATAAAATATTTTTGTAACAATTTTAGAAGGCCCTTTTGGGTACCATCTATCAACAGTTTCCGACTATCCAAGTCTGTTTAAAAATGTTCCCTTTCGTTGGCAAATAAGTGCATTAAACGAGTTTTCTATGCACGATGTACTGACTTTCATATTTTATTTTGAAGAATGCAGAAAGTAACAATGTACATTACTTTGTCATTTGTTAATATTTCTGTTATAAAACCTGCTGTTTTCTATGCATTAAAGGTGTTATACACAAGAAATAATGTCGTCTTGGGCTTAAGTTTTCTTGCTTTCCCAATATAGTAAACTTTAATAGCAAACAGGCCGCTTTTTGTTTCCCCCGTTATACTCTTAGTGAAATGTACATGCATGGATCAGAGGTCATCAATGTTTGATCAGTGCTTTTCTGCAAGAATTGCGTTGTTCTCTCCATTAAAGCATTGAAGTTCATTTAATAGTTCGGCGTGTGCTGCCAATTTCTTTTACTAAAGAATTCTCGCAACGTTTAGAAATGTATCTTTGTGTCATTGTGTGTGATTCTCTCTCTCTCTCTCTCTCTCTCTCTCTCTCTCTCTCTCTCTCTCTCTCTCTCTCTCTCTCTCTCTCTCTCTCTCTCTCTCTCTCTCTCTCTCTCTCTCTCATATACATATATACATATATGATTATAGTATATGTATGTATGTATGTATGTATGTATGTATGTATGTATGTATGTATGTATGTATGTATGTATGTATGTATGTATGTATGTATGTATGCATGTATGTGTGTGCGTGCGTGCGTGCGTGCGTGCGTGTGTGTGTGTTTGGATTTTTAACGACGCTTTAACAATTTTTCAGTCACATCGCTACGATGTCTGCAGAGTGGCAGTTTATAGTGATGTCTAGCTTTGGGGCATCATGCCGCAGACATGAAGCATGATGTCCCATCCAGTCACATTATCCTGACACCAGGCCGACCAGTCCTAACACTAACCTCTTAATACTGAGCAACTAGCAGGAAGCTGTTTGGTAGCATTTTTATAAGTCTTTCGTATGACTTAACCGAGGTTCGAACCGAACCTCCCGCATCTGAGGCGGACGCTCTAACCACAAAGCCACCTAAACAGTTGAAGAAAATAATGGCCAATACAACAAAAGAAATACATTGAGGTGTTGGAGTGTTACATAATAGTCCGATTTTCCTGTGACGGATATACTTAAATTGTATTGCTGGTAGTCTCAATTGCATTAGTTAGCAAGTATTGAGATCGACGTACCTGTTTTCTGGCGGCCATGATGAAAACAGGAGGCGGGTGGGGACAGGAGGTAGGTAATGTAATACTTTGATTTTTTAATCATTTTTGTCACGTGAACATAATGGCTGTGTTGTTATAGTTAGATAATATAATCGAAACCTACATTCAGTACCCACTTCCTTCAATCGAGAACACAATATCCAACAATACAACAGTACAAACCCTGTAAAAATGTATTATATACCCTTATAAATAAAATTACATATTGTATATAAATTGCGGTTAGCGAAGAGCAAAGGTATCACTGACAATACATTTTGTTCAAATTGTTTCTTATGAATTAATAACTGTTATGTACTTGATATAAAATGGCACATTATACAATGACCCGATCGGCCATCATGTTACGCAAGAAAGGAATTGCATACTGACCAGATGGGACATCATGTTGTACAATAGTATAATTACACACCGATTGACCGGATGTGCCTTCATAAGCAAACGTTTGTTCGCCAATAACTTACAAAATCGTTAATGTTATTACGATTACTAGCGGACAAAAGGTGGTCCAGTCAGAACGTTGCCTTTGAAATTTCAATGTCATATGTCCAGAATTTTAGTTTCATGTGTTGTACCAAACAGGCTTGTCCTTAAAGTTCCATTTTCTAGGTCGAGATTTAAGATTGCATCTGCTAATTATACAGTAGTGGCTGAAAGTTACATTTTCTATGTTGAGGTTTTAGAATGTGTCGTTTGAATTACTCGGCGGTGGTTGAAATTTCGTTGGCATACGTGGAGAATTCATAATTTACCTATTGGTTCAAAGAGTTTATGTTCAAAGTTCCATTTCATATGTTGAGTATTTAGATTTCATCTGTTAAATTACACAGCGCTCGTTGAAAATTTGTTTGTCTTATGTCGAGATTTAAGATTGCATCATACGATTTACACGGCGGTTCTTGAAAATGTAATGTCATATGTCGAGAGTTTAAATTTAACATGTTGAATCACATTGCAGGCCCGGCATTAGGGCAGGTTCATTGCTTGCTTGTCTTGAACTACCGCATACGGACTTGTATGAGGCGCCGTAGCAGACAAAAGCTGGTCCAATGAAAACGTTGCCGTTGAAATTTTAATGTCATACGTCCAGAATTCCAATTGTACTTGTTGTATCAATAATCATCATCATCATCATCATCATCATCATCATCATCATCATCATCATCATCATCATCATCATCAACAACAACAACAACAACAACAACAGAACAACAACAACGCCTGTGGCCCGTGCTGGAGCATAGGCCGCCAACAAATTCTCTCCAACAGTCCCGATCTTGAGCAAGTCTCTCCAGCTGTCCCTTCGTGTGGCTTGTCTTCTTTAGGTCCTGCCGCCAGGTGTTTGTTGAACGGCCTCTCTTTCTTCTCCCCTAAGGGTTAATGCATGTCCTTAAATTTCCATTTTCTAGGTCAAGATTTTAGATTGTATCTGCTGAATTATACAGCAGTGGTTGAAAGTTTATTTTCTATGTCGAAGTTGTATGTCGAAGTTGTAGATTATGTTGTTTGAATTATACGGTGTTAGTTGAAATTTCAATGTCATACTTTGAGAATTCACGTATTGATTCAAAGAGCTTATGTTGAAGTTCTATTTCAAATGTTAAATGTTTAGATTTCTTTTGTTGAATTACACATCGCTGGTTGAAAATTTGATGTCCAATGTCGAGGTTTTAGATTATATCTTCTGAATTACACGGCGGTAGTTGAAAATTTTAATGTCACGTGTGGAGAGTTTCAATTTAACATGTTAAATTACAATGATTGTGCTGAAAGTTCTGTTTCCTATGTTGTGTTTTCAGCTTGCATCTGTTGAATTACACAGCGGTGGTTGGACATTTTATTGTGCTTGTTAGAACTGCTATTTTTATATTAAGAAATGATGTGTTGGTGTTAAAAGTAACATTACACAATGTCCACTTTAACAATTCAAAAAATTCTAGCATTAAGATACATCATTCGTGTTCAATTATGAGGATTTACAGTGTTTGAAAGTTACCATTCACAGGTTGAGAACTACGATGAATTTCTTCGCTAGAGGTCGCTCTCGTGAATGGACAGCATTATTTTTAAACAAGGAGGCTGCTTCTCGTGTCGTGAAATTCAACAGATAAAATCTGAATACTCGCCATATGAAATTGAACTTTCATCACACACAGTCACATTCAGCGTGTGAATTAAGGATTTTCAACATATAACACTTAAATTTCAAGCACGGCCATGTAATTCGAACGACACAATCTAAAACCTCGACATAGAAAATATGACTTTCAACACTGCTGTTTGATTCAAAAGATGCAATCTAAAATTTCGACCTAATAAATGGAATTTGAAGGACAATAATTTTTTTTACGACATGTAAAATTGAAAATCTGGACGTATGACACTAAAATTTCAACGGCAACGTTTTGATTGGACCAGCTTTTGCCCGCTACGGCGCCTCTTAGCCTTTGACCCCGCATATCCTAGGGCCGGGCCTGTCACATTGATTGTGCTGAAAGTTCCATTTCTTATGCTGAATTTCTAGATTGTATCTGTTGAATTACACAACGGTGGTTGGATATTCATTATGCTTGTCAGAATTGCTATTTTTATATGATTAAATGATGTGTTGGTATTCGGAAATAATATTACACAATGTCCACTTTAACAATTAAAAATTATATCAAGTATTAAGATTCGTATATTCAGTTATGAGGCGCCATTTCATGTATTTACAGTATAAAAGTTACCATTCACAGGTGGAGAATTACTATAAATGTCTTTGCTAGAGGTCGTTCTCGTGAACGGACAGGGTTATTTTTTTAAACAAGAAGGCTGCTTCTCGTTGCAATGAAATTCAACAGATGAAACCTAAATACTAGCCATAACAAATGGAACTTTCATCACAAACAGTTAAATTCAACATGTTTATTATGGATTTTCGAAATATTGCTACGTGACAAGGGCTCGTAATTAGTATCAAAGAAAAGAGTGAAAGCCAACAAGCTTTTTATATTTTAACAAAACAATTTATTTCCCTATACAACAATATAAAAATTGGTAAATAGGACTTACAATCTGTGAACATAATCCAAAATGTGATCATAAGACTGAAAACACAAGTCCTATCACAAAATTATTCTATAAAAATCCAGGTTCGAGTCTCGACGACGTACAAATACGAAGGCGATGACATCAGATGTAGTCCAATATATGAATATCAACAATTTCTCACTTGAATCACAGTTTTTGTTTCCGAAAAATTTCAGAATAATCATCCATGAATATCTTTCAAAAATTTTATTTAGAAAAGTCAACTTGTTGAATTTACAGAAGAAAAAATTATTAAATCCAATCAGACGAAGAACAAACAATCTTGGCAACAAATTAAAAATAATACACCTCGTATCTTGAAGGTTTTGAATGACTCTGTCAGAACAAAATATTTGGCTGGCGTATTTAAAACCCCAGACTTAATTAAAGTCTCACGAGATTGATTATATGGTCTCTTACTACACTATTTTGTCACGTCCGCCAGTATGAACCCACTTAAAAACCGATCATTAAAAAGGTTGTTTACCAATAGTGATCACACAAAGAAGGTATCCCGTAATACTGACCAATCATTTTAACTTCATGTTGACACTATTACCAGGGTAAAAAGGACCCAATGATAATTCTCACGTATGACATCTTCATCTTGAATAAACAAACTTTATGATAAAAATATATCTCACTACAAAAACTAGAATCCCGAATCCGAGAACAATATTTATTGCAATTAAATAAAATGAAACAGAAATAAAATAAAATAATTTTAAACCTTACACACAACCAATTTAAAAACATATACGTAACAATATAATACTGAAATTTCAACCACAGCTGTGTAATTCAAAATATACACTGCAAAACGTTGACATAGAAACTAGAACTTTTAAAGACCAATGTAAAATGCAACATATAAAATCTAAAATCTTGATCTAGAGAACAAAATTTTAAGGACATGCAATTTGACAATTTGACATACGACAATTATAGCTATCTCCTTGGACCAGATTTTGTCCTCTATGGCTTCTCGTAGATTACCGCTGAGCCTCATTGTGTCTTTGACTGTAAATTGGGTAAAGACGAGAATGTACCGAATGTGATGCGTTATGATAGACCTGCTGTGATATCAATTGGTATCGACAAATTCATTGTGTCCTGCGTGTACTTAACAATAGTGCCCAATAAGTGGAAAATTCACTGGAGTATCCGGACATTTATAAAGGAAGGCAGGAGCTGTATGTATGTATGTATGTATGTATGTATGTATGTATGTATGTATGTATGTATGTATGTATGTATGTATGTATGTATGTATGTATGTATGTATGTATGTATGTATGTATGTATGTATGTATGTATGTATGTATGTATGTATGTATGTATGTCAACATATGATAGAGACGAAGACATTCACTAGCACAGTGACTAAAGAAAAACTCATGGTCCAAACAAAACGTGGAAAACAGAGAATGTTATTTATCTTATCACATGTAAGATCTGTGGCCTTCAGTACGTCGGAGAAACTGAAAAGCTACACAAAAGGATAAACATTCATAGATCTGATTGGAGGACAAGAAAGCTGTACAGAAGCCCGGTCGCAGAACACTTCTCCTCCCCTGGCCACACTTTCAGTGATATAATACTTATCGCTATTGCTAACAACCACAGCTGAAGTTCCGAAACCAGGAAGGAAAAGGAATCATACTGGATACGCCGCCTTAGAACATTGAAACCAAGCGGTTTAAACCAAGAAGACTAGAAAATGAAAACTATGCACTA